TGGCCTTTGATCAGACTCTAAGTGGTGACATTAATGTCTAAATAGCACTTAGGAGGAGGTTTTTAAAGAAAAATCGTAGTATGTTACTGGATTTCAACCTCTCTAGATTTACAGAGCCTTTTTTTTTTTCTTTCTTTCCTTTTTATTTTTCCTGGAGATATGAACCCCTGTTTAAGCTTATTATTAACAAACAGACTTGTTTTTCTCATTTGCCAATTATAAAGTCATAGAAGTAGTTCACTGACCCTTTACATCCACAGATTAAACTGTGCAACAGGTTCAATACTAATGAAAAGAAGAGGCATTAGAAAATAAAAATAGCCCTGCAGTCTAAAATAAATCACAAATGTGTCTATATCAATCCAGTGTTGCAGCAATTAATATCTATGGTTACTCTAAGAGGAAGAGATGCAAAGGGAAGAATTATTTTCTTTGGAATAGGTTGTATTCATTTCTTTTACTTCTTGAACAGCAAGTTATATGAGGCTGTATTGTACAAATGTCCTAAGGTGCACAACTATTGTGTACATATTTAAAATGTTGATAAGATTGAAGCCTCAGTTAATAGTTCTGTCAAACGCTGGCATCACATACTGTAACATTTATTGTAAAAATTGTATATACATATATGAAACAGTGTCAGAGGGCCTGTAAAGCAAATATTGTTTCTAGAATTACTCTGAAATCTTTTTATTTAGTTATAAAACATTCAAGGACCCCATTTAGGATTATTTCCTTAAAATTCTAAATAGAGTAAAATTTCAGGTACAGGTGAATCTTTAGCCAGAAGTACCAAGGTATGCAAATGTCTGTAGATCCTGGAAAAAGGATCCATCACTCAATCCATTACTCAATCCAAAATTGAGTAAGACTGCCAGTGGTAAGTTTTCTCTCTATGGAAATGCAACTCTCGTATAACCAGATAATCACTGTTCTATTGATATTTAAATTAGAGGGGATATTTAACCAATACTATATGTGGTCAGTTGTGCAATAGTATATATGAAGAAAAAACTAGTCCCTAATATCTGTGATGATGTTTAGGTTCTCCTTGGTGACTGGTGATTTTCTACATATGCCTAAACATGTTAGTAGCTATTTTATTTTCAGGTAATAGTTTTTCCTGTGCTTCTCCAAAGGGTTTATGGGATAATGTTGGGGGATAGGGAAGGGACAGAAGAGTTCACGTTCATATTTTTAAAAATCTTTAAATTCTAATCAGGATGAATTCACTGAACAATATTATTGTTTGCTGTTCATTTGTACTTCTAAATAATTAATATTTATAAAAAAAATTAACTCAGTGCTTCTGTTCTTCTCTGAGTAACAATAATTATAGCTTTCTCCTATTAATTTATAGTTTAACTTAGTCCTTAGGTCAAATGAAGTCTAGTTTTCTCAGTTTCTTTTCCTGGACTGTATTTTGTGGGAGGGACCATCTTGAAAATACAGATATGTTTTGTCCTTTGGATGACTTACAATATTGTTAAAATTCATGGGCTAGAACTATTTGAAGTGACACCAAGAGTTATATTGATCTTTTCCTTTCCGCAGTATCATGGGTGCTTTACCTTCTACTTTCCTAAAAAATGAATGCAGGAAGTTCAGCTTAAAAAAAAGTGAATCTCTGTATTAGCCATGATCTAGCTCTATATTATACTTCTTGCAGCACAGCTACAGGAGGAAAAGCAGTAATTCTCAAGTAAGAGCTTAGCATTCCTGTCTGTTAGAGGGTGAATTACATAAAATACATCAAAATCCTGGTTCTCCACTGCCTTCCTTTGGTTATTTACAGTGCTAACTGAAAAAAAAAAAGTGTTAAATTATTGTACTAGCTTATTAAGACTCACCTTTTGTTTAACTTGAACTGATAAAAATAAAAAGGGGAGGAAATGTGGAATCACGTAGGATCCCATTTATACACTACTGACTTCAATGGAGCTATATTAGAAATAAACTGGTAAAAGTGAGCATCTCAGCAGTACAAGTTTTTTATTTGGGGATTTGTCAAACATTTAATGCAATTTTAACACAAGAAATACGTGTATGGGCTACAGTGAAAATTAAGTCATCGATGTAAGCTGAGACATCGAGTGCATACATGCATGCACATTATATTGTGGTTTTCTTTCTGTGCTGAATTTTCTGGATAAGCCAGTCCTCTAGACTTGATACACTGTGAATGTATAGCCTGACAAATCTTCTGTTGTCCTTGTAGATGCAAAAAGATAAACTGTTGCAAAGCTCTAGCAGGGTTTTACAGAACACTTCCATAACACAAGGACTGACACCATACCTCTTGACATCTTCTGTTGTAAGATTTCAATACTGTGAACAAGATTTTATAAAGCCTTCCTTGTTTTAAATGCTTTTTACTCTGCTAACAATTTTCCGCATAATACTTCAAACATTGTAGAGACAGCCTCTTGAAATCTGCTAAAACAGTGTTTTTTCCTGCTTTGCTGCTTTGCCCCTGCTGGTTGTTTTTTTGTACCTGAGTTTCATGACCAAGTCACTCAGAAAGAGGAGCGTGCCTCCTCCCTTCCCTTATCCTAAATTATATCCCCCTGAAATACAGTCACTGAAAACCTGTGGCCTTATTTTTATCCTTCTGTCCTCTTTCCCCCGTGCATCCACCTTTTCATAACATGGTGGCATGGTAGGAATACTGTTTTTCTATTAATTATGTCTTGAGATACAAACAAGTATGTTAGGAACAGAGGGATTTTTTAATTTATTTTTAAAGAACTCTGCAAAATTCCTACTGACTTTGAGCCAAAAGTGATGCCAATTTTGCTCAAATCTTTCAGAGGTTTGTTTTGACCTTGCTTACGACCAGTGAGGCTAATTGTATCAGAACTATCCAGGATACTTTAAGAAAGTGCTATCTTAGTCCATATTTCAAAACACTGACAGATATTTTATCGTTAATTAGTATTCATATTATGTCTCAAACAATCTGTTCAAGAATAGGGGAAGTGAACTGGTTGAATAGCTCTTCTGTCTACCTAATAATTAACATGGGTAATGCATGAAAAACTAGGGGCCTAACAGGAAAAAAGGAAGAAGTATTGCTAGAATGACTTTTCTATAAAAGTATAAACTACCTGTATTGGAGGCTTTGACTAATACACAGATTTCATTTAGCAGGGGTGAAAATGAATGGCTTATTTTAAAAACAAACCTGTGCCCCTCTGAATCATATCTTTCTGAATTTGCTTCTCAACTTGTCAGTATGCCACTTGATAGCTGGCTGGACTCCCTTATTCAATGGCACATATTTTAAAATAGCATTACAAAAAAAAAGACCATTTGTTCCTATAAACCAAAATACTATTTGCATATTTTTTTCAAACTTCAGGATTATATATAGCATTATCAAAATAATTTTTTAGTTATTTTAAACAATTTAAGTAGTTGATAGATGTCAGTTGATATATTATGTTTCCTCTCTGCCTCCTCCCCCTCTTCAGCTGCTAATCATAGAACTTGTATGCCAAATTGTATAAGATGCTCTTCCAATAGTTACATGTGTGAGTCTTTTGTGAGACACAGACAGTTATGAGGACAGATTTGGAGTTGCATATGGGTCTGTCACATGGTTTGATTGCCATGTCTTCTAGGACACAGATTTCTTTTTCAATTATTCTTAATTCTGAGGAATTTTTACAGTTTATGCAAAAATTCTGCAAAGTTCTTCCTAAAGGATTCTTTCTCAGTCCATTTTCCCTCTCTTTACTCACAGCAAAATGCTTCCTATGCTGACTTCAAAGCTGCTTACACTCACCTTACTTCGCACTGCTATACTTAGTTTTCTTTTGATATTGAATAGCATTCACTGCTTCGCTAATCAGGGAAAGTACACACTTTCTAGAGAAGTACAGAATAAGAGGATGAAGAGTTTTGATATTTACATTAAGATTTCATAATAAATCTTTCAGATGTGTGAACAGTAAGAGCGAACATTTCCTTTGCTGGCTGCAGTTAAAAAAGTAGGTCTTCAGAGTGTTGCCAGGAAGACTTATGAAGATCAGCCCAAAGTAACTACCCTGCTGCCCAGTTTGACATATTGGTGGTATATCTGACCACCTGTTTTATTCAATTTTCAAAAGATGACCCCATCTCTTTGATCAAGTAGCACTCTTCTGCAGCTTATTTTCAATCTGCAATTGCCTTTTGCCCTTTGGTGTATTATGATGATTTTTAATAATATGCAGTCTTTGAGTTATGCTGCAGTATTGTTCTTATAATATTTTTAGATTAATATACTGAAGACATTACAGATATATGCTTTAAAACGTATGACATAGCTAAACCTAAGACATAGCAATCAAAAAAAGATAGCATTGAGCCAAAGCTAGTGTGCAACATCACCGAAACTCCTGGAACACAGAAAAAAGTAGAAGGTCACTTAAAGAAAGCAAGAGCATATTTAACCATGTTGGGACCTCTGTGTATTGTAGCAGCAGTAACAGGCAGTAACAGCAGATATAATTATTCGGAGCTGACACAACAGAGGATGTGGTAACTTCCAAATGTCTTCATTAAAGTAATAATAAAAATACTGTCACTCATAAAAAGTAGAAGCAACAAGTTCCTCTTTTTTCCGCTTTATACCTGAGCTATCTAACTACAAATGAGTTTACTTGGAACTTGGTAAAAGTCCTTCCAGAAATTCCAGAAAAATATTGTAACATTGCAGAAGGTTAAATTGCATATTTCTAGTTGTAGCTCATCAATTTAAGCTGAAGATGGTTATGCATATTTGACTATCCATGTATTAATTCTTAGATTAAAGTTTATTATAATGCTGTATTTCTATATTGTAACTAAATTCCTGCGAAAATAACCTGTATGATTGACATGTATGCTCCATTTTTAGCAACGTGACAAATGATGGCAAAGAACAGCAGTGTTGAAAGTAAAAACCTAGAAAAATGGAAGATACTTCCGTTACCTTCCATATCCCAAAACTTTTTTTTTTTTTTTCCCCCTTCTAGGTTGGTGATGTTCTCTACTGTGCTGGACAGATTGCTCTAGTACCTTGTACTATGCAGCTTGTGAGTGGGGGCATATGGACTGAGGCCATAGTTTCCCTCCGTCATGTGGAGAGAGTTCTTCAAGCCATGAACCAGAACACTGCACTCCAGCACATCCTTATGGCTAACTGTTATGTAACTGACAGCAAGTATATTCCTGTTGCTCATTCTATATGGCAGAGGAAATTAAGAGAATATAAAAAGGTAGCTGTGATATCCATTTTCTTCCTTCTAGGTTGTCTTTTTTTTTTTCTTTTCCTAAGTCTTGCAGTAATACCAGCATTTTCTCAGTACATTTCAGAGGGGTTCAAGTAAAGCTGATATAATAAGGTTTGATTGAGCTGTTATGTTCTGGTTTATAAGTGGTTGTGCACAATTGAGAAAGAAAATTGCTTAATAGAAAGTTATATTCATCACTAACTTTGTCTTAATTCCCCAAAGCAATATGTTGAAGAATTCTTTAACAGTAGCCTGTTCATACCTCTTGCCAGATATTTTTACCTAAGAGGAATTGGGCTTTTTATCTTAGCTTTTTGAGGGTTGTTCTGTTGAGGTTTTTTTCCAACTCTTTATTCCAAGCAATATTGTCATGACAACGAAGTTTAGCAGTTCACTGTTGCTTATTATTCAGCTGAACTTCTAAGACCAAAGTGTGGCGTGCCTCGCTATTGGTTGACCCTAGATTATCTTTAACAATCTTTAACATCTTCCACAGTGATCTATTACATCATCATAATAAATTCTCCTATTTGTAACATTTTTCTTAAATAGCCACAGAACAATCTGCAAGCCTGAAAAAGGTAATAGCCACAAATCTTGTAAATAAAACATAACTACTCTCTGAATGAATAAGCAAGAGTAGTTTCTATATAACTGCTATATGTAACTTAATTGTTATGGTTTCTCAGAGAAATATGTAGCTTGGAAGCATAGCATGTTAATATTGCCATAGAAGAAAGATCTGTGCTCCTAAAGCTTTATTTCCTTCTATTTGCCTTCACTTTCAGTCTCTGCACTAGGCAGTGAATAAAGATATAGGCTTTAGATAGAAACTTAAACATTCAGCCTTGATTTATTAATAGAGGACTCTTCTAAGTAGTGTTTACTACTCCATCACAACCAAGTGTTTTACATCTGATACATTTCTGGTCCTCTGTGTAGCGCTCATTTAGGTCTACTAAGATTTCAGGTTTTGTTTCATTTTCTTTTGCTTTGAATGTAAGATGTGTTGTTTGCTGAACACCTGGCAATTTCTACTCTGGGGTGTGCTGTCAGGTGTTTCTATTTGTTCTAGTATTCTTGATGAATGCTTTGGTAAACAGGTGATTTTTATAATGTATTCAGAAGAGCTCAGTTATTAAGATGCTTGTATATTTAAAATTTACCAAAGTAGCTAACCCGTACTAGTCTGAAATAACCTCACCATTTGGTCTCCTTTTGAAGAATGATCATAGCTTTTTATGGTTTGATTTGGAAACAATTAAAGTGAACTCAGAAAGACACATTCTTCCAGACAAGACTGTAACAGAAGCTAATACCAACATTTTCAAAAGTCAATATTCATTTAAGTTTTCTTTTTTCTTATGGGAAGGGTATTCCAAAGTTTGTGTCATGCTGTAGAAACCCTCAGCATTTGTATCTGCTAGCCATATTTATGTCAGATTCTAAGACCTACTGTGGAGATATCACCATAGTTCTTAAGGTGAAGTTAGGTCCACTACTATTAAAGGTTTTGCACACCAGTAGGTTTTGTAGGACCTTTAAATGGAAACAGTGAGTGTGACACCAGTGCATATTCAAGAATATTGTCCTCTGTGAGGGTGACTGAGGACTGGAACAGATTGCCCAGAGAGGTTGTGGAGTCTCCATCCTTGGAGATATTCAAAACCCAACTGGACACGGCTGTCTCGGAGCAACCTCTTCTAGGTGACCCTGCTTGAGCAAGGGGGTTGGACCAGATGATCTCCAGAGGTGCCTTCCAACCCTAGATATTCTGTGGTTCTGTGATGGTTTATAGATATATTATCTTTAGCTGATACTTCTTGGATGTACTATCTAATGATGGTTCAGAGGCAGCAAGCATTTCTTGTCTTTGAATTATTGCTGGTATCTGGCCCATGTCACTTTTTCGTTGCTCAAACTACAGGTTAAATAACGGATTGCTGCCTGCACAGACTTCTATGAAGAGTTAGCTCTCTAAAAGGTTTCATGGATGTTTAAAAAAAACGTGCTAGAGCAGCATCTAGCAATTCGAGAGGATGCTTATCATATCTTATGCTTATGAGATTATGTTCATTAATTTTTGTTAGTGACAGTATCAGAAATAGTGAAAAACTATTAGCAGATGAAGTGATGTGTGCCACAACATAATCTAAAAATACTTTGGAAAATTTTAAAATACCGGTGGGAATCTAATGTTTTTAGCAGCCAGAGGAACCAATTTCCCAATCATTTCATCAATAAGAGCTTTGAATGGAAGAATTAACTTTTCCTCAGGCTATGCATGCTCTTTTGATTAGTACTGGTTTATGTACACAATAAAGCAGAGAAAAAGAAGTAACACACTTCTGTTACAGGGAACCAAAGAGAGGAATTGTCCTGCCATGAAAATATAATTGGCTTGTTAGTGTAGATGGATGGTCATCAGTGAGGTTTTACATAGGAGAAGAAGCACTAGCTTGCATGGTGTTAGGAGAAATGTTCTTTTTGGCTGATTCTAATCGTAGAACAAGAAAATAGTAAAGTCTGACATTCTGAATAACTTCATAAAATTATACTAAACTTACCCCATAGAATCGGTGAAGACAAATCTAGTTTTTACCCTTCTTAATATTTTCTTGGATGCAGTCTATGGAGTGCTGTAAGATACTAGCTTTCTGTGTGGAATCCAGAACACAGTAGCTTTACTCCAAAGACATCTATATTCAAGAGTCTAAGTTGTGCATCCTTTTATTTATGTTAGTTTTTGTTCATTTTTGATGTCCGAATACTAACTACTGCCATTTTGTTCGGTACCGTTTTCTGTTATATACCAGTTTTCTGCAAGTAAATTAGTCAGCCAAACCAAAATAATTTTTTTTTGTTCTTGAGCTTTATTTCAGGCAGTGGCCAAAGGTGTGAATCAATAGCAACCTGCAGATTACTTAATAAGAACAAACAAATTGTTCTGCTGCTGTCATCCATGGAAAAAAAGAATCTGTGCAAACAAAACAGTGCAGCTCAGAACTCATTTCTTGTAAACTAGACATTATAAACCATACATTTAATTAAGTTTTTAAGAGGGATTTTATACTCTTACTGTTCTGTTCTTGAAAGTTCTGTATTTAATAGTGAAATGATAGTACACGATGATTGAGGCATTTGTATTTAACACAATGACTAAATTGTATGCATCAGAACTGTAAAAGCTTTTTTTGAACACAAGAATTTTTAGCATGTTGTCATATAGCAATATGTGGTAAATATCCTCTACATAAGTAATATTTTTCTTACAACAGCAATTTTAAGTCAGTAGTGAGGAAAGCGCAAAAGGGATTGTATGAATTGTTTAGCACACAAATAAATTGGACCTAAAGGAACATTTAGGACCAAAGGAACATTGAGAAAGAAGTGCAAGAATTGTTCTCTGGATGTGTTTACGTAACACAACGGATTTACTTTTCAGATGAAGTTGTTAGAGCAGAACATGGGCATGATATTGATCAAAACTTCATCTGAGATAAGGTAATCAGGCAAATTTTTCTGCATTTTTGAGTACTTCTTGGCATATAATTGACAGTGACAGTCATCTTTTAGGAACTTCTTGAACTATGATGAGAAAGGTGAATTGAATGTGTTTCAGAATAACCAAATACTTTCACCGATACCCACAAGAGTTCTTCTGATGAGCAGTAAGGATGGGAGGGAATTGTAAGAGAGAGAGAAGAGTGGTGATAACCAGGCTGGACACCATAGTGACTTTTAACCTATTTCAGTCAGCGAGCCTCTGACTCTTTATTCCAATGTCATTCAACCAGCCTTCCTGGCTTCCTGTGCGATTCTCTCTGCTGCTGTCATCCCGATTCCCTCACTCCAGGTGCCAGCTCAGTATCTCAACTCCAATGACTACTCCCTACAGCCTCGTTGCTGTACTATAGCCCTGAATGCAGCCTCCATGAGCCCCGATTACCCACAGACATCAATTATTATATGCTGAGCTGGAATCCAGCCCCCATCCCTCTATCTTCTTCTTCCCTATGTCCATTTGAGTCCCAGTATCCTTCAAAAGCCATTCAGGACAATGGAGGAAATAGAAATCTGGTGGAGGAATGGGAGATTGTAATAGAAGTCCACTGCAGAAACAAACAAAATAGTGGAGAAGGAAGGACAAGAAAGCAGCCACAGTGAGGACTCGCTCCAAAAGACCACTAGATCACTGGGCTGACAAAAAGGCCTTTGGCACAACATCTTGAATGTACATAAGAAAGATTTCCATTGTTAAAACTAAATAAAATGATACTGTAGAAATGAAATCTAGGATAAAGGAGTCTAGGTAAGCATTTAAGTTCTGTGGATGGATAAGAAAGGCTGGATTGCTATTAACTAGTGGTTGTTGTAGAAATTAAAATATAGTTAAGAGAAGCAGCAGTTAAAATGAAAAGAGCTGCAAAAGCAGAATAAAAACAACTATGCAAACAAATAATGAAAGCAAAGAACTTGCAAAAACAATTGGAATTAACAAATATAAGTGTCGGCCATCAGCTTCTCCCTGTCCCATTTGTAAGTTACACCCCTTCCACGGATTCTTCATGAGATAAGCTGTAAGCTCTCTCAGGCACATTCTGGGACATCTTGACACTTTTGGGGAGTTACATGTTGGGGGCTTCTTCAATATACATAATTAGCAATAGTAACATTTGTGTGGTAAAACAGTTTCTGTCTAATCCAGTAGTTAGCATTTAGAGCTTTTTTTAAAAAGAAAAAAATCTTACAGCATTGCTAAAACTTTCTGGAAAATAAACTGACAGTTTTCCAATTAAGTCTCATCTTCTGTTTTTCTTCACATCTTTTAATGACAGTGTCATCTAAAATGATGATTTTATGAGTCGTTTTGCTAACTCATTCAGCAGAGTAATCAATAGAAAAAATAAGCCATATGGGTTGTAGTCCATTTTTATTGGATGGGACAGATGGCATTATTGATAGATGGAAATATTCCAAATAAT